GTTTTTTATGTTACATTTGGAACTTTAGTTCTTAGTGATAGTAAGAAATATTTGCCATTCTTTTAGTCTATCATATGATGCTTCTACTTTGATTCGTGTATTAAAACGTCAATTATTCTAGTTGAACATATCAATGAATGCTTGATTTTTTACCTTAAAAAAATAACGTCAAGTCGTGTGAAATCTCACATTGATTGGAGAGGAGAACAAAACATTTTTTTATAATGGTGTGGAAATCTCTCTCTAATAGGCGCGTTTTAAAATTGAGGCTAACTGTGATACGTAACGGGTCAAAGTGAACAATATCTGCTAGCGGTGGACTTGGATGGTTACAAATGGTATCAGAGTCAAGCGAGCAGTGTGTCAGCAAGGACGTTGGACGTTGGACCTTCCGGGTGGGTCAGCACCAATGTTGAAATGTAAGTATGAAATGAATAATAAATGAATGAATAAAAGGGGTTTGGAAGTTTGATTAATTAATGGGTATGGGTTTGACTGAGTCAATAATTGTTCTGTTGCGCCTAAGATGATTGGGAAAGTCAATTTATAGTTAAAATAAGTTTGTTAGTCAATTGGATATTTTTTTTAAAAACCTATTTTTAAAATCACACTTTGAAAGTTCAAATATTAAAGCAAATTATATTATTTATCTAAACTAATCTCATGAATTTTGTATTTATTTAAAATTTCAAATGTCTAATTTATTAGTTTTTTCTACAGTTTTTTAAAGAAAGATTATATTAAAAAAAAAAAAATTAAAATAATTATATTTTTAAAAGAATAATAAACGGAAAAAATTAACACAGTGAGGTTTCTCCGTCCCGTGTCAGACATTTTTAATTCTATATTTCATAATTATTTCATAATTATTTTAAAATGTCTAATAAATATATATTTATTTATTTTAATCTAAACCAACTCTATTTTTTATTTATTAGATATAAATTTAAGTTTTTTAAATTTTAAAAGTTTATAATTTATATATGGAATTTATTTAATTAATTAATTTTTTTTTTTTTTTTTTTAACGATATTTAAATTATGCTGCAAATAACAATTCAGCATGATGGTATGAAAAGGATTGATAAGGACGGGAGAGTGAGAGTAAAAGGGAGAAGATGGTGCCGTGAGTGGACCGCAGCCACTAGGGTTTGAAATTTCAACGCAGTTTTTTTGATTCCATTGAAGAAGAAAATGGGGCGAGGATAAAAATGGCGGTGTTTATCACGATGGGCCGTCTCTTAGGGTTTTTTTTTCTTTTTCTATTATTTATTATCAATTTATGATTCAGATTGAAAAATGGAGTTTCTGGGTTTGAGTAATTCAAACGTTGAATTCTTTCGTTGACTGATATCCCAAGAAAGAAAGCTGGACGAAAGAGAGCGGTTGACGATGGAGCACTCTCATCTTCTTTTCCATGGTGTATTTATGGTGTCTGTTGACCTTCCTCTTGCTTGCCTCCTTCCTGCTGCTTCCCAATTCTTTTCCATTTATTCATTTTCTTCCGTGTATCCACCATGGGAATCTGCTGCGCAAAACCTGCCAAGCTCGCTCATGCATCTTCAACCAATATTTCTGGTTAGCTTTCTCATTTAGATCTTTTCTTCTTCTTTTGAATCGGTTTTTTTTTTTTTTTTTTTTTTTTTTCGGAAGCTCTTCGCGATCAATGGATCGTTGTGTTTATCGTGATTTAGTTTACGAACTATTAGGTTGAGATAGAAACGATTATTATGAATTGGCAAAACAATGTGAATGGAAGCGATTCTATATCGCAACTACGTTCGTCAGTATGTTGAGCATTGTGTTATTTCGATGTGAAAACCAAGGCGTAAATGTTTGCCCTGGGGCTGCAATTTTTAGCGGAATTAATTGTCTATTTTTAGTTTGGATTTCATCAATTGTTCTATTTTTCTGGCAGCAAGGGATAACTTAAATAGCAAGTCAAACGTTGGATCAACTGATTCTAGTCAGAAAACTCTGAGTCTTACCTCTAGTACGTCTGTAATCAAACCGAAATTCGATGTATCTGGCGCCTGCGCTCTCAAGTCTTTTAGCTTCATTGATCTCAGGAATGCCACCAAGAACTTCCGCAGTGAAAGTCTACTTGGTGAGGGAGGATTTGGATGCGTCTTCAAAGGGTGGATCGATGAACACACATATCTTCCTACTAAACCCGGGACTGGAATTGTGGTGGCTGTCAAGAAACTCAAGCGAGGGAGCCTTCAAGGCTACAAGGAGTGGCTTGTACGTAAATAATGAACCCTGTCCATTGCTCATAATCTTTTTTCCAACTGGTTCACCTTTAACGTTGTTTGAATCTTGACATTTCAGGCGGAAGTGAACTATCTGGGCCAGCTCCGCCATGATAATCTTGTCAGGCTTATTGGGTATTGCTCAGAGTCCGATGACAGACTTCTAGTTTATGAGTATATGCCGAAGGGAAGCCTGGAAAACCATTTGTTTAGAAGTTAGTATGCAACCCCTTCGCTACCTTGTTCTTCATTCATCAACTTTCTTCTCTTGCTCAAGTTTAAAGCTCTTTCCCTACTTCTATAATATCAGATTAGTGTTATTTCCCCTTCCAATTTGTATCGCTTTAAGAAATCTAGCATATTAAAAATTAGAAATGGTATAAGAACTTCAATATAAAATACTTGCGGCATAGAAGCATTGTTTTTCCAGAATATAGTCTAATGAAGTAACTTTTTATTGAATCTATCTATATCTTGCTATCTCTCTCTTCATTGAGTCTTCCTGGCAGGTTTACTTTTGATGGAGTCAGAATGATGGTTGTTTAATAATGCCTTCAGTCTCCACCCTGATCTTCTTGACTTCGATTTTTTGCTTTGGAGAAGGACAAACATTTGCATGATGATCACTTTAAAAAAGTTTCATGTGTTGTTGCAGTATTGTTTCCCTGGGAATTTGTAATGATACTCACCATTCTCTGTCTTTACAGAAGGTGTTGCACCGATTTCTTGGCGTGTTCGAATGAATATTGCAGTTGATGTGGCACGGGGATTATCGTTCTTACACAGTTGTCAACCTAATGTTATATACCGAGATTTGAAGGCGTCCAACATTCTGCTTGATTCAGTGAGTAATTTTGTCTCATCAAGGGAATGAAAATCCCCTCTGAAATGAAAATACTCATTCTCTGTTTCTTTCTTTCTTTTAAGGAATTCAATGCCAAACTCTCAGATTTTGGCTTAGCAAGGGAGGGTCCTACGGGAGACAAGACTCATGTTTCAACCCGGGTTATGGGAACTCGAGGCTACGCTGCCCCAGAATATGTAGCAACAGGTTGGTTATATTTCATTTATTTAATCTTGTAATGTTTCCTAGATTGATAAAGCAGCATATCCAGTAAAATAAAATTTTAGAATTTGAAAAAGTAACAAATCTAATTCGTTCCTCTTAGCTCATATTCTGGATGGTTGAATTTATTGTTCTTTCTTAGCAAGGTTTGGTGTATTGAACTTAAGATTAAGAGGAAGAAAAAGAAACCTAGAAACACGACGATGGAAGATGTTCTATACTACATTATGACCATCCAAAGTTTAAGACGTTTGAAATGTGGCCACATTGGCAAATGCATCTTTCCTTCTACCCCATATAGAACAAAGATATTCTTGTATAGGAAATAGTACATTTGGTGATTGGTTTGACTGACTGCAACAGGTCACTTGACCCCGAAGAGTGACGTATACAGCTTTGGCGTCGTTTTGCTAGAACTACTCTCGGGCAAACGTGCATTGGACCAAGAGAAAGTGGGGAGAGTGGAAGAGACCCTAGTGGATTGGGGGAAACCCCTTCTAAGCGACAGTAAACGAATGTTGAGGATAATGGACACGAGGATGGGCGGTCAGTACTCGAGAAAAGAAGCTCAAGCTGCAGCCTCGCTTGCGCTGAATTGTCTCCACACAGATCCTAAAAACAGGCCATCAATGGTTGATGTTCTGGAGGAATTAGAACGACTACTGAGCTCAAAGGATGTTCTAAGGACTCCGGACAGCCGTGCCATTAGACGCACTCCGCCTGCTAGATCTCGATAGCAAAGTAATGGCTTACTCGATCTGTGTTTGATTTTATTTGGAAGTTGCCTCCCAACAAACGCACTTCACCCAATACAAGAAGTGCGCTGTACAAGTTTTGTGGATATTTCCATGTAGAATATATATCCCCAACCAAGTGTTACAGAAACAATCAAGTCCTTTTTCCATCCACTCTTTTTAAGTTCAGTTTAACCCTAAGTCTGTTGTGTTCCTAAGTAGCTCAGAGTTTGTTGTTATTCAGTAGCTCAGAGTTTTTTGTTCCTCGTTAGCTCAGAGTTAGTGGCAGAGCGATTAAAATTTCATTACTACTCTTGACATTTAATTGTAGTTTTTACATTTTTCTAAATCATTTTATTAAGATTGNTTTTTTTTTTTTTTTTTTTTTTTTTTTTTTTTTTTTTTGTTTCTCTTAAAATAAAATTGGTTAATTATAGTCTTGAGTGAGCTACAACACAAATCTTGTTGAAGATACTCTAAAATTCTTACACTATTAAAACTTATACACTTGTTAATTTTATGCCATTAGAGAAAATCATTATACGTCGTATTTTATGTTAATTTACCCTCAAATTTAAGCGTTTGATATAATGAAAAATACGATTATCGAGAATCTATTCATCTTTATAATTTGACGATTCAAGCATTTGGTGAATTTGACGATTATCGAGAATCTATTCATCTTTATAATTTGAAGATTCAAGCATTTGGGTAGCTAAACTTCAAACGAATTCAATGATCCCATAAACCCTACGGGAACCCAATAATTTAGGTTTCCAAATCCATCCCAACTACTATTTAGTTTCTTTTTCTCTCCCTTTTTTAGCATTAAAAAGTTAAAAAATTTTTTTTTAAAATAAAACACTTTTAAAAGTNTTTTTGAAACAGTTTTTTTTTTTTTTTTTTTTTTTTTTTTTTTTTTGTGTGTGTGGCAATTTTCCTCCCACCGTGTAAAAGCGGCTATCCAGCGCTAGACTTCACTTCCTGGAGGTCTTTGAAAATTTTCCCGCACAAACTCTTCTCTTCTATGAGTTTGGCTGAAATTCCCTTACAGAATCAACCTTGTCTGAATCTTTGAGGTATTAGTTGACCTTGAATTAGGGTTCAGAATGCGGGAGCTGAGTTGGAGACATCACACTCTCATTCAAGCGCTTCTCGCTCGCGGCCCTCTCAGAGAGGATCACTTCCATTTGCTGTTTACGCGGATCACTGAAAAGAGTCCAGGTTTTAATTTCTTTCTCCTTCCCCAGTTTGGTATTCAAGTTGGGAAGTAATGATTTAACGGTATGGAGTCCTGCTCGATTTTTGTCTAACAAATGATGGAGGATGTCTTTCTTAGATCATTTGTAAAAGATGCGTTTGAGTTCTTATAAATTTCTGTTCAAAGATTACCGAATATTTGCAATAAAATGGTTTCTGAGTATAATATGGAACCACATATTGGAAGAAATTGCATCAGGGTTCATATCCGTATACGTTTTGGAAATGTGTATTCTTATATCTTTCCTTAATCATTAGCATAAACGATTGAAAAGGAGGAGTGTTTTTAATTGATAATTTGGCCGACGGTTGAAAACTAAGATCTGTTCGATGTTTATTTTGGTGCAGATAATGACCGGCAGCTTTTTAATAATTACCTCCTGACGATGAACAAAGCACTTTCTTTTGCTCAATTTGAGTTGCGAGGCTGCAGAAACCAATATGATGGTCGTGTTTACTATGGCTTGGTCAATAATGTATCCGATGAACAATCCAAGCTGGGAACAAAGTATTCAGTTCCACAGATTGCCTTTTATAAAGCCATTGTGAGTTATCAACTATGGGAAGTACTGGCGTTCTTCAATAAACTGACCATTCTGCCAATTTTCTTAACAATAAACTATGGATACTTAGTGTTTACAATATATGCATCTTTTGTTTTGTTGTCGTAGTATTTCTTATGAACAAAAAATTGCTATGTCAGGTTGAAGCAATTGCACAAGATCCATCTGCTCAAGGTGGAATATCCAACATTGCTGCTCTTCATCTGCAGTTGGAAAATCAGGTTCCTCTTGTTTGTATATGACCAATACTACCGTTTTGAGTCTATTATTGCCAAAGTCAGCTGCATATTTAACTAAGGTTGGCATCTTTGGTCTTTTTCCTTGTAAATAAGACTAATTCCAGTCACCGTTTATATAGCGTACTGTGGACAAGAACTCTTTGGAATGAGTTTGTGAGATCCCACATCGTTTAGAGAGAGGAACGAGTGCCAGTGAGGACGTTGGGTCCCGAATGGGGTGAATTGTGAGATCCAACATCGGTTGAGGGGAACGAAACATTCTTTATAAGGGTGTGGAAACCTCTCTCTAGCAGACGCGTTTTAAAAACCTTAAGGGAAAGCCCAAAAAGGAAAAGCCAAGGAAGACAATATCTGCTAAAGGTGGGCTTGGGCTGTTACAAAGTTCTACAAGAGTATCATTTGATCTTTAGCTTATATCATTTATAGAAAGGTACACTAGTTCTTAAATTATGATTTGATACGAGTCATATTCTTCTTGAATTTAAATATTGCCAATGGAGTGCCAAGAGTTTTCTACATGGTAAAGCCTCGTAACTTATCGATCAAAATTGGATAATGGGACTGTTAGTCCGACAGTGGCATGAATGCCTTTAGAATATATTGATACATTCACTTCTTTGTGGCCACTTCAATTAAATTCGCCTAGGAGTCACTCTCAAGTTTGTTATTTCAACTTCTTTCTTTTCCAATACCTGAATTCTTATAATTGTTAAATTTGAGACTAAGAATTTAAGGCCACTCTTAAACTCTACACAATTTTGTTGCAATGCTTCTGATTTGCCCCCATTGTGGGTAAAATTGAGAACTGACAAAAGCTTCCAGCTCCTTGTATTACTCTCTTTGTAGGTCTTTTCTGCTTTTTCTCATTTCTAAGAATCCTATTGTATAATATTCGTATCATTGTTTAACTGTTACTGCTTTATCACTATCAGCTGGGGGATGCAGGGTCCCAGTCCCATGTCATACCACCTGCTTTCAAGAATTTCTCAATATCTCTCAAGGAAAAAACAATCGCCGAGCTTGCTCAGGATCAGTGGCTTAATTGCACCCCTGATGGTTTTGTAAATTTGGGTGTCAGATCATTTCTTGATTTGCGAAGTTGGTTCCGCACTAATGACATACCTTCATGTGAAGTGTGCAATGAAGCTGGAGTGAAGGTTCTCTTCTTTTATGCCATTTTTGTGATTTACTAAGTCAATTATCATTTTATCTCAATTTTGTGCATTGCATTATTTTCCCCTATGCCCACACTGATAGGAGGAGCTGAACATTTGATGAAAAGGATTTTATGTTGACAGTGCAATTGGTCTGGATTTTAACATGATCCAAACTCCGTATAGTTTTTACCCTAAAGAACCTTAACAAACCTTATTTCCTTGATGATTTATATGTTTGCTGGACTTGTTATTCACAGGCAGAGTTGTGTAGTAATGAAGGCTGCACTGTTCGTGTACATCGGTATTGCCTTAAGAAAATGTTATCCAATAAAAAGGTTATATGATGTGGTACCTTCCTAATTTAATCTTTTGATCTGCAAGATCTCTTGTTCCTAACAGTTCTTTAATGGACTATTATTTAGAGTAAAAGGGCTTGCCCAAGTTGTGGCACTCAATGGCGATCTACAGCACCCAATGTGGAGTTCAAGGAGGAAGAGGATGAGCCAGATGCGCGCATTCAAGGCCAGTCATCATCACATAAGAGGAAGAAAACCAGATTGAACAGAGATATTGATTCAGGACCAAATGGAGACAGTGTGGCTGCGGCACAAGCTTCCCAACCTCCTCCAGATACGAGGAGAATAACGCGAAGTTCTGCACACCAGCGGTAGGTGCTTGAAATGAGGTACAGTTGTTTTGATATAGTTTCATGGATCCTAGTCTAGGAGTTGTGAAGTGTGCAGCAACTGCACCTTTTGATGTAGTGTCAAAATTATCATCATATTCATATTTAATTGAATTGGTTGTTTTCTCGTACACAGAATCGGAATGTAAAGTGCATTACACAGCGTAAGCCAAAAGTAAGTTTCTTTTTTTCTTTTCTTTTCTTTCTTTTAATCTCTTGTAATCTATAGCAGTGTTCTCCATTCTTGTCGTCCACACATGCAAGGAACGAGCTGTTCCATTGTAATGATTTTTTTTCTTTTTGTACCGAGGATATTTTTATTGTATTGTGAGTATAAATAGGTTCAATATCCTATAAATATCCCAAATTAGAGTAACAGCCCAAGCCTGCTACCAAGCCTATTGCTAACTGATATTGTTATTTTTGGATTTTCCCTTTTGAGGTTCCGCTCAAGGTTTTTAAAACACGTCAGCTAGGGAGAGTTTTTCATACTCTTATAAAGAATGTTTCGTTTCCCTCTCCAACCGATGTGGGATCTAACACCTTATTTATTTTTTTTATTGTGAATGAGTGTCCGAGCCAACTTTTGTCTCTATAGAATCATGAAAAACTATTTGACCTTACTACATTTGGTTATTATAGAAACACGTTAGATCTAAATTTTAAGTATGTGAGTACCATAGATTGAACTTGTTAACTCAGAATGGTTAACTGTAGCCTCTTTATTTAACAGGTATTATGCTTTTCGGTGGTGTATTGATGAACAGTTAAACATGTATGATGGGTCTGGATTGTGTACAAAGGTATGCAGCTCAATGCTGAAAATTTGACCGTTCATATTTACCATGCTTAGATTTAAGGATGAATATATCCACTCTAGAGAAGGAAGTCATAATTAAGCCGTTTAAATAGTGAGAACAAATTAGAGCACTCTGGAGAAGTCATCATAGCAGTGACATGAGATAAAAGTGGTGTCTTTGAACTGTTGAGAATAGAATCGATTATGAAACTTTAGATGGTGGGAAAGTGAAGCAATGAAAAGAATATGGCTAAATGTTTGTCTTTTTATATAATTAAATTATCTGAATTCATTACAAAAATGTCCCTTTATGAAGCTGACTTGGCTGTGAAAAGAGAGTTTGATCTAATTAGCATCTCGTGAATGACCTTCAATCATTCCAACTAAGCTGCAGTAGGTTTTCAAAAAAAGAACACATGTTTATGTAACCATCTAAGTCTATTACTAGTCGATATTGTCTTTTTTGGACTTTTCTTTTCAGGTTTTCCTTCAAGATTTTTAAAACGCGTCTGCTAGAGAGAGGTTTCTACATCCTTATAAAAAATGTTTCGTTCTCCTCCCCAACTGATATGGGATCTCACAATCCATTGAATTATGCTAACTTTTATTCTTTGTAGTTCAACAATACGCCAGACGAAGGATTTAACTTTTACTCTCTTGATCGATGATACGTGTTTTATATCAATTGAATATTGTTCTTATTAGTGGGCTATTCTCACTAGAGAACGAAAGAAACATCTGATGGGACGTGAGTGGATGCTTTGATGTCCTAAGGGCACACATGGCCTAAGCTTCTCAGCATTGTGGTTTGTGTCATTTGTACGACCTCTGTTTTTAAGCTTTTGCCTTGTTTAAACAAGAACAGAATCCAACGTAAAGTCTCAATTCAAAAAGGCATAACCATTTTGCCATGTATTATCTGTCTATTATTATAAAGTATGAGTAAATATTCGTCCTTCTCCTGTACTATTTTCTCAGGTACTATTATAATCAAAACCAACACACATCCGACCAACCATTTTTATTATCATTTCTTGTTCTTTAAGGTAGATTTGTTGTGCCTAGATTACTTCTGGCTCGTATATCCAACTAGTTTTTTCTCATAGCAAGTAATCGGTGGAATCAATGTTTTGTTATCGATACTTTGATACATTCATTTAGCTTAAGATGTTGATTTTTAAGAGATAATGAACAGATTTTTTAATTATCATGAAACTCGTATATAAAATATATATTATTATTAAATAATATCGTAAAAAATACATTACATAGAAACTAAATCTAAAAAAAATAAAAATGAATATAGTTTTCCTTTCATTTTATTTCTCAATTCATATTTGAAATAATATATATATATATATATATATAAGAAAAGGTCAACCATAAATAGATATTTAAATGTCAAAGTTTAGAAGTGTCACGTTATTAAATTCATAATAAAAATAGGTCAATTATAATAAGTTAAAATAAAATGTGAGGGTCTTTGTCAAAAAAAAAAAAAAAAAAAAAAAAAAAAAAAAAAAAAAAAAAAAAAAAAAAAAAAAAAAAAAGGCTGGAAAAGTTACTGAATAGCTTGAGGAGCGTGGATGGTACGCGGCAATGGATCTGAGAAAAGGCGGGGCCTTTTGGCTAAGTGGGACGAAAGAGGGCTCCACTCTTCAGCATCCACTTCCGGAATTTGTATGTGTGCGTTGTTATGTGGCTCTTGCATGGACGCCAATGGGCCGCGCTTTCTTCACATTCTTCACTCTCTCTCTCTCTCTCTCTCTTGCCGTTTATGTATGTACTTTTTTCACTCTCTTTCCTCTCTGTAAAAACCCCATTTCTGTAACACACGAATTTCTCTTCCACTTCTCTCTCTGAAACGAATGATTCTACCATGTGGGTCTTCTCTAAAATCTCACCCTTTTCTTTGTTCCTGTTCTTGATGGCCTTCGTGGACTCTGGTATGCTTGCTTCTGCAAATTCTTTTGTTTCCACTTTTCTGCTCTGTAATTTTTTGCTTTTTTCGTCTTTTACGCTCCCACTTTTCCCTTTTCGTTGCGTATAATTCCGACTTCGTTTTAGAATTTGGTCCGGTTCTTGCTTTTCTGTCTTATTTCACGGTTCCAGTGAGCTTTCGATTGTTCATGGTCCTGAATCTTATCTATTCCCCTTGTTTGCGTCTCCTTTCTGGTTTATCTCGGAAATTAGTCGGCTGTCCATTGCTCCCAGTCTTTGAATTTGATATGTTCTTCTGTAAGTTTTGTTGATTCCTTGGATTTTCATAGGCTGGATTGAATTTTGTTATATACGGAGTTGAATCCTTTGTTTTCAGGGGAAGCTCAGTTCTGGTTTAGTTGAATCCTTCTCTAAATCTTCGTGGAGATTCATCTCTTCCCTTGATTTTCTCCCTTTTAGGGTTCATATCTTTAGTTCGCTACTTTTTAGTTTTTATTGGCTCTCCTTTCTGTTCAATTCTTTCTTTGTGTTCTTTATGTTCTTGTTCGAATTCTTATCCATAGATGGTTCTCCAAAGAACATCATTGTATCTGTAGAATTAAACATATGTTTTCAGATCCTTATGCTTGCCCTTTGTATTTCAGTTCTTCTGTTCTTCCCCATTTCTGAATTTTTTTTCAAAAAAATTCAATCCAGAACTCTCATCTTATCCAATGATTTGTGCACACTCTATGATACAATTATGAACATGTTGTTTGAAAATCAGTAGTACTTGTCAATATTTGTTTAGAAATTTCAGGAGAGTTTGAATCTTGGGCAGTTATATTTTGTTTGCTGTTTCATGGTTTCTTACTATGTTATGCTTAAATTTGATATTCAGGATGAGTATTCTATCCAAATTCTGTATTAGGAGGGATATCGAGCTGTAAGGTTTACGGATATGGGAGCCTCGAGTTCTAAAGTAGAGGAGGATAAGGCCCTACGCCTATGTCATATAAGGAAGAAATTTGTTAAGCAAGCCCTTCATGGAAGATGCTCTCTTGCGACAGCCCATGCTGAATACATTCAATCATTAAGATGTACAGGGACTGCGCTCAAAATATTTGTACATCCTGAAGGCCCGGTAGAATCGCCCCTATACACTTCGACTAATGCAACTCCGGAGCCCCTTGCCTTTGCTGAGAAGTCTATGTCCCAATTCTCGTTTTCCTCTCCGTCCTTCTCGCAGCGTGTGGATATTGGTAACTTTTCTCCGTCACCGTCTCCTCCTACTTCGAGTCGGTTTCAGGCTAATCATATGCAATTCAGGGGTAGTTTTTCTAATAGGGTTGAAGAAAAATTGCCCACACCTGTTATTGGAACTGTAACCTCCTCAGACGTTCGACCAAGTGACGCACCTCAAACACGGTCATTTGAAGGTTCTTCTGCACCTCAGGATGGAACTTGGGATTACTTTTTTCCTTCAAATAATCATGAATTTTCCTTCCAAGATGGGAATGGTATGAATAATGGAGGGTTTGAGTTTGAGAATACGGGTGGTTTGAAACACTTTAAGGAAGAGGATGGAAATTCCGAGTATAGAGAAAGAGAAGAGAAGGGTTCGTTACATGTAGGGGAGGAATCTCAACACTCGGAGGACGAGTTTGACGAACCTTCTTCGGAAACTCTGGTGCGAAGTTTTGAAAATTTTAACAGGGTACACAATGATGGAGCAGTGAATACCTCTCCTACTATGCATACTGTGAAAAGTGTAGCTTCGGAGCCCGAGTTTGTGAACCAAGGGAAGAACCACTCTCCTGGTTTATCACCTTTAAGAACCACGTCTTCGGTAGTTCCATTTACATCTGTTTTCGGCAAAGCTACTGCGAAGGAAGACGGTATTGAGAATACAGCTGTTCCCAAGGACTTATTTTCAAGCATGAAAGAAATAGAAAGTCTCTTTACAAAAGCTTCTGAATCTGGCAAAGAAGTTCCAAGAATGCTTGAAGCTAATAAGCTGCACATACGGCCAATTTTTCCCGGGAAAGAAAGTAATTTCTTACTCTCTCCCTCTCTCTCCTTCTGTGTGTGTGCATATTATACTCGAGCTTTGCGCTTAAGGTGAACTAAGATTTAGTTGTAATTTCGTAATTGATAATATGATCTACCCCGTACAAGATATCGGGGATTTAGCTAATGCCTAATGAGGTGATGATGCTTCATAATTTGGTATGGTTCTTTCATTGTTTCAAAGTTGCAGTAAGATTATTTGGAATAATTGTGTAGTGATCAGCTAGACAGCCCATCTCTGGTATTGTAAATGTTCTTTTTAAGGATCTAGATGTTTGAAAGGTTTGTCTCGTAAATATCCTGTTGAAATGTTTTAACTCGATTGATTTTCTCCCTGTGCAGACCAACCATTATCATCAAGATTCTTGAAGTCCTGCTTTTCGTGTGGAGATGACCCAAGCGTTGTTCGTGAAGGTATAGGCCCGTTGTTGTTTTGGTCTTCATAATTTATAACTTATGTCGGTTTTTGAAGTTTTTATAGCTCTTTGGTTGATTTGGGTGATCCAGACTCTCCATATTAGTTAAACTCATGAGGTGACATAAATTGCCAGTGTTTGTTTGTCGAAATGTCTGAATTCCCGATGTTGATGACTTCCAAACATTATTTGATGTCCATAACCAGCAGTTCTTATGTCTTAGGTTGTTTTCTTGTTGAGTGAGCTTATGAACATGTGCTGATCTTATGAACATGATCTTGTTCCCACTCTAACTTCATTGAGATGCATGTTTACTTGGTTGACATTTTTTACAAGCCCACATCTGACATTATTGAATCGATAAGCTGTGACCTCTGTATGTATTGGATAATCGATGTAGGCGATATCCTACCCGTTTTCACATAGCTATTCACTATGATAGCTTCATTAATCAATGGTCGTTCTTTGTGTCATCGTAGAGCCGGTGCAAACTGCAACAAAGTACTTGACTTGGCATAGGACGGCTTCGTCACGCTCCTCTTCATCCAGGAATCCTTTGGGAGGACACTCAAAAGAGGATGTCGAGGACCACTCCAGCAACTTATTTGGGAATTTCTGCATGAACTCGGGCAGTCATGCGTCAACCTTGGATCGGCTATATGCATGGGAAAAGAAGCTCCATGATGAAGTCAAGGTTCTGCAGAACTTTAGTTTTAATATAGTTTCATGAATCCTCCCTGATCTTCATTTAATAATTTCTGATAATTTCGACAGGCTAATGAGATGGTCAGGAAAGAGTATGACCTTAAGTGTAAAATGCTACGACACTTAGAATCGAAGGAAGTCGGTCAGCCAAAAATTGATAAAACACGAGCTGTTATCAAGGATCTACATTCCAGAATCAGGGTCGGACTCCATAGAATA